GCCAGTTCTGAAAAACCAGTTAGCCCTAGAGAGATGTCCAGAAGGGTCTTTTTGGTACTATTTTTTCACTCCTCTCATCTGGTTGGTCTTGCCTTCTTGGAAAATCCAGTACCATTAGGTTCTCTTGCTCATAGCACTACAAAATCTACACAGTAAATGCCAGTAAATGACCAGAATATGCATTTGAGGTCTGTAAAGAGGGATGACAAGGTCTGCTCTGTTCATCTACATATCCTGGACTCTAGTACCTGACCCTACTCAGAACAGGTGCTCTATTAATAGTGGTGAAGAAATGGATAAATGTTAACTGAAGACAATTTGAAAGTATTCACCCTTCCAAGGGCTCGTGTGATTTAACAAGTGTCAGATCCTCAAGCTAAGTGACAAAGACTAGAAGGTAGATGTCAATGATCAATAAGCCTGATAGCAGAAACATAGGAATCCCAGAAGACCGACAAAGGGCCAAGGATCACTACATGTCACCTCCAAGTAGAGATGGTTCCGTCTCTTCGGGTCATGTGTGCCCTGTGTGGCTTACAGCCCTTGGTTTAGGGCTGGAAAAAACACTGGACCCATCTCCAATTAATCTCTCCTTCATGTCATAGAGTGAACTAGTTTTGTGCTATGGACTAAATGTCTTCATCTCCCCAAAATTCATATGTTGAAGCCTAATCCCCAGTGTGATGGTACTTGGATGTGGGGCCTCTGGGAGGTGATTAGGTTCTGAGGGTGGAGCCCTCACGAATGGGATTAGTATTCTTACAATAGAGGCCCCAGAGAGCTCCTTTGCTCCCTTCCACCATGTGAAGTTACAGTAAGAAAATAGCCATTTGTGAACTAGGAAGTGGGCTCCCACCAGGCACCAAATCTGGACTTCCCAGTGTCCAGAACTATGGGAAATAAATGTTTGTTGTTTAAACCACCTAATCAATGGTATTTTTGTTACAGCACTCCAAGTGGACTAAAACATATGACAAAGCCTGGGAGGTGACCTGGAATAAATAGTGGACACCGAGGAGAGAGCTTCCCAGAGAACCTGAATGAAGTCTGTGTGTTCCTTTCTTCACCACTGGGCACCTCTTCTCTGTTTTCCTTCTGTCTTGTCCACTAATTCAGCGTCTGGATCTAAACATCTCTGGATAGAAAAAAGTAAGCTAATGTTTTTGAGCATTTACTATCTGCCCAGCCTTGTTCTAAGTGTCTGTCATTCTTTGACTGAATCTACACAACAATTCTAACAATAGGTATTAGTTTCCCTCCCTTTCCCCCACTCCATGAATGAATTATGCCCAAAGTAATGTAGCTTATAAGAAGTAGAGCCACAGAAATAAAAGAAGGAATAGTTATTGATAGCTCATTATGTGTCAGGGCTATCTATACAATATTTCATTTACTTCTCACCACAATCCTCTGAAATACATACTTCTGTTATTGCCATTTTACAAATGTACAAAATTGGACTTGAAATGGCTTGGAAACTTTTCCATACCCACACAACTAATACATGATGGAGCCAGCCTAGGAATGCAAAATTCCAAGTTGCTTCCACTTACCCTCCCCAGTCCTCTGTCCTCATTGCACACAAGGTTTCGGGATCATAAACAGGTTAAGATTTATGGAATCCCTACTATGTGTCAGGCATTCTTCTAAGTATTTTACATATATTAATTCATTTGATCCTCTATGAGCTGGGTATAATTACTATTATTATTACTATTACTGATGTCATTTTGCATTTGAAGAAATTGAGGCAAAGAAAGGCTAACCAATTTTCTCAGACGTGTGATGAAAAAATGGCTACACTTGGGCTTAGATGTAGCAGCCTATTTCAGACTCCAAGCTCTGAACAACTGCATCGTTATGCCTCTTCTCAATGCTCATATGACTAAATTTAAATACCATTTATTTAGAGCTCATATTCTTATTCCCACTAGAAGATGACCCCAAGTCCAAAGCACTTTATCAAATTCCATGTAAATTTTATATAAGAATAGGATAACTTCCCCATTTCCTATATTTTCATGGTAAGGCTGGATTCGGGGGTGCACTTCAAAAATTTTAAAGGCCCAGACACTTGTTTAGAGACAAGACAGGAGAAGCTGGAATACTTATACCTTTTAGCTCCAGGAAGCTTGGGAAGATATTCCTGCTTCAGCACCCCTCCTGTCTGTGGACCAGGGAGGGGTAGGCAGAGCCCTGTGGCCATCTGGAGAAGTGAGAGAGCAGCACTGAGCAGTGAAAAAATGGCTCGGTGGACTTAATCCTGGTAGGAAGTTCTTTGGAATCCCACAGCCTTGGAAGGGGAGCTCCCCAATGCCCACCCCAAAGATGGGGCAGGCCGTGAGACATCTTCAGCTCACCTCCCTTTCATGAAAGGGAGGAGAGCTGGAAATTCTAGGCCTTTCCTTCCAATATGGAACACTGGCCGCTAAACTTCTGCCTGTGTCCTTTCATCTTTGGCCACACTTCACTTATGCCTTACTCCCTGGCAGAAAAAGGGACCATTCATTATATTTCTGCACTTTGTATTATTATTTTTATTACGTTGTTGTTGTTGTTGTTGTTAATTAGCTGAATTGGTGGAGCACTGAACCAAATCAAATTAGCAACGTTTTCATTGGTATGCCCCTATCTCTATAGTAGTTGCACACTTTTAAAGTACTACTCTCTAATCCCCAGTAGAAACTGGGATGGAGGGAGAATTCATATATATATATGTATATATATATATATACATATATATATTTATATTTATATTTTATCTCCATTTAGAAAAGGTATGCGCTGTGTCCTTTATTTCTGACTCTCAGCAGGTTTCACATGATCATGACTCACAGAAGACATAAGGAAAATATGTTAATTAACAAGGTTGTAACTTCCAAGCTGTGCTCTTAGTGTGACTCATGCTGTATACTATTGCAGAGCAAAGGCTAAATGATAAGCAAAACTTTACATTGCATAATAATTGTTACATTTTTGACACTAAATCAAACACACCAATACTGAAAAAGGAGTGCCCCCAGATGCACTCAAAGAGCCAGCAGTGTTTCTGGAGAAATTTTAAGCACCTTGGATTACAGGACCCCATAAATAAGAGGCTGAGTGGTAGGTAGGTAGATTGGGGAAGTTTGACCCCCCAAATCTTGTGCAATGCCCCACAATAAAATCTTACTTATTTAGGAGTGACAACAGTGGGAAAATAATACTGTGGGTTTGAAACAAAAAATTAGTGAACGATAACAATAAACAGTGATGCCTGTGGCAGGTCTTGAAAGTGAGGTTAGAATTTTGTGGAACTGACCTGTGCTTGCAAGTTAGGAATAAGCTTGCTTCAGGGACAAGAGCATCCTTTTGGCCCCACCCTCGGCAATTTGCCAGGAATCGGTTCTCAGGTCTGCAGTAGAGACTGGAATCTCTCCTGCCGGTATGCCAGCCAGCAGCAAATCCAAGTGGAGTCATGGGCTTTGCCCCTTTTCCTCTTCTGCCTTTGGAATTGCCTCTCTGGTGAACCCCAACTCGAGAAGTGCTCCTGGGCTCTGGGTTCCGCTGGGGACTGCACCAGCAAGGAGGGTGCAGGTTCCTCCATGAGCCCCCCTCGACCCCAGGGGTGGTGGGGAGCAAAGGGGCGCGCTGGCCTGGGTGCTTCCAGCATCATGCTGCTGCGCCTAGAGCGCAACGAGGTCACCTGGGCCACAGGTGCACTGGGACAGCAAGTTGGCAGGTGCATAGGTTGATGTGTGCATGGTCACTGTTGTGTTGCAATTGCTGTTTGCTGCCTAAAAAGCCCCTTTTAAAGATGTTGCCAGATTTTCTCCATTCATTTCTTTTTTATTACTTGTTTTTAAAGCATCCATTACATAGGCAAATTAATTTTGGCCATCCCTAGGATTGAGAGGAAATAATGGGAAGGGTATAATGTGTTTGAAGATGTGTGGGCTACAATATATACTGCTTACTTGATTGTTTCCTGACACCTTGAATATAGTAATGATCTACATATTACACGAAAATGCACCATATTGAAAAATAAAAAATACACAAATTGTACAAAAATTTGTACAAGCAGGATTGCTGTACACAAGGGGGCAAGAACTCTTTAGAAATGGGAGGTTCTATGATTGGAGCAGTTTGCAATGCAGAAATGTTTCTGAAATTTTCCCAGAAATCTTGCCTCATTTTTTTAGAACCCAGACTGTCCACATTGTGTATTTTCAAGTGGCCAGCCATGCTCGGCCTTGAGAATCCTGTGATGAAGATCACTAAACTGACTGCTGGCTTCACATTAGACAAATGACAGAAAATTAGGCATGAAGACATGACAGACTCTCTTGCCTTTCCATACTAAACCTCATGAATGTGAAAACTTATTATCAATTTTAAGGGGAAACATTTTGTAGAGCTGAGCACCAAAAAACCACTGATTTATGCCCAAACCATATCGAGCCCATTAAAATGGACACAGTAGTTTCAAGCACTAATAAGAGTTATTAGAACACTAGGTAATTAGGCTTCATGAGTTCCTTTGTGACTTGAGTGTTGATTGGGCTCCTTCGGCTTCCCTGGCTACTGTTAAGACTGTGCTTATAAAAACACACATAGATGATACTCAGTTTATATAATATAATTTATTTCATATTTTTAAAAACATTAAAACTGAAAGGAAAGCAAAGGAAGCAGCAGGCCAGATTAATTCAGAGAGGGAAACCAAAATCAATAGATGTCAATGTGAAGATGATACCTGGGGGCTCTCTTCCTGGTAGTGTCAGCAGAGAGGAAAGCCTACAAAACCTAAGTCAGTCCTTATAGAAGCAAGGACATGCCTCAGAAATGGAAGCAGGGACTTACATTAAAGTCCTCCTCAAGGTGAATTCTCTACGTGTGGATAGAAATATCCGAAGAGTGTACAATCAAGTTCTAAATGTTGTATTTTGGTGTAGGGGCTAGAGTTTTAAAGTTGAGTCCATTCTCCACTAAGAACCACCACTATCACTCTGACCTACCTCCTTCTTGATGCCTCAGAATTCCCTCTTGGAAACTGGAGGAGAACAGAAGATTCCCTGGGTCCATCCATATCTAAAATTCTATCACGCCACAAGCACGCACTGGAGCAGTGGAAAGCTATCACAGAAGCCTCACAAGGTGGTTGGAGGACCAGGTGGCAAAGAGCAGCCAGAGTCTGCAAAAAAGGGAAGGGTATAAAGTTTGAGCCTATTCTTCAGACATGGAAGAGATTCGGCATAAGTCACAAATAAGAGAAATCTGAGAAAGATGATAAGGAAGCCATGCTTTCATTGTACCCATTCAACAAATTTATTAAGTACCTCTTCACCTAGCCAGGTGCTTGGAACACACAGTAGGATACATGCAGGTAGAGTCCATACTTTTACCTTTCTTACGGTGTAATAAGATACAGACAAGCAAATGTGAAACAGATTCAACAAAGTAGATATTGCCGGGTGGTAAGGTCATGGGTGCTGTTTATGAATTCCCTGTGTTATGCAATTTATCTACAACAATAATTTTTTTTTAATGAAAATAGAGTTTTTTAAGAAGAAGAAAATGGGGGCACCTGGGTGGCTAAGCTGGTTAAGCGACTGCCTTCAGCTCAGGTCATGATCCCAGAGTCCTGGGATCGAGCCCCGCATTGGGCTCCCTGCTCAGTGGGGAGCCTGCTTCTCCCTCTCCCTCTGCTGCTCCACCTGCGTGTGCTCTCTTGCTCTCTCTGTCAAATAAATAAATAAAATCTTTTTAAAAAAGAAGAAGAAAATATATTTTTAAAATCTACTTCATATAAATACTAGATTTTATGAGTAGTGGGATGGTATTATAAAATCCCTTGAGAGTTAACAGAAGAGCTACCTGAAACTCAGGTTAAGTGGCTTATTAAAATCACAGAACTAGAGTGAGAAACTGGAAGAATGCAGTGGCATGCACAGAAGTACATCTCACCAAAGTTTTGTTTTTTGTTTTTCTTTTTTAAGCAGGAGAGCTAGGATTAAAGCCTAGATCCTCTAAGTCTCCAAATCCCAGGCCTTTTGACCACCAGACAGTGCCTACGAATAGCTACAATATACAATCTGAAGCATCAAGGTAAGAACTGCAATATACTCAGTCATTAAAAAATGAGATGGAAGAAACCTATGGAAGAAAAACATTTTCAAAAATTTGAGTCTCATCATCTTCCTCTCACTCTCCTCTATCACTCTTCCTTTTAATACTTTTTTTTTCTATTTATATTAAATACATATTCTTAAATAGTCTTTGGGCAAGAATTAAAGGGGAAAAATTACATATTCCCACTATACTAAAATGACTACTATTGATATCGTGAAATGATTCCTTTTAACTTTTTCCCCTAGATTTAGGGTTTAGAAAAAATTATAATTATACTGATACCTAATTATAAGTCTTTGGTGGGTTTCTGATGTAATTACCCGAGTTAGTATTAAAAATTTAGCCAACAGTAAGGGAATATTCTTAAACTAACAGAGTAATAAATATAACAGATAAACAATTTTAGATCAACATTTCCTAAGTATACGCCATAAAACACTAGACATGTGAAACGTTCACTAAGAAAAAGGTTTAGGGGTGCCTGGGTGGCTCAGTGGGTTAAAGCCTCTGTCTTCAACTCAGGTCATGATCCCAGGGTCCTGGGATTGAGCCCTGCATCAGGCTCCCTGCTTAGTGGGGAGCCTGTTTCCCCCTCTCTCTGCCTGCCTCTCTGCCCACCTGTGATCTCTGTGTGTCAAAAAAATAAATAAAATCTTAAAAAAAAAAAGGTTTAGTGGTAAATAAAGTTTAGGGAATATTTCAGATTCTCATCCCATTTTGGACATTCACCATGCACTTTGCAAAAATCAGAGAGAAGCAATGTTTAAGAAAAGAAAAACTTCTTTAAATTTTAATTCAACATTTCCTAAATTTATTTGTACATAAAAACTTAAAAAATATATTTTACACTTATTAATGTCTTTTGGAATAGGAACAAACTTTGGGATACACTGCATTAAATTCTCTAGTTATTTCCAGTGCTAGATTTTAAAGGACAACATTATTAGACCTGGCTGCCTTATCAGGCAGGAGTCAATAGGAAACAATACTGGAAGACAAGGAGCTTTCAAGATCAGTTAAGCCAGAAGTGAGAGGGCAAGTGGGGACACCCAGGAACTCGGCACTTAGAAACTACACCTAGAAATGAAGCATTCAGAACTTTGTCCCCTAATATCTTTAAAGCGTCTGTTTAACATAACATTTCAAGATCCTAAATTTTCCCTGTCAGAGATTTCAGCCAATGGAAGAAGCCTGGAGAAATCACTAGCAGAAGGTCAACCACTGACATTATTCGCTGATTCTTCCTTTCCTCTTGACATGTCCTTGACAACTTAAAAGCATTCTTGTTTTGTTTCACCATATTTCCATTTCTACATTCAAGTAGATCCTACAAGGAGAATATTTTTTATGTTTTTTCTTTCTTCTATACTCTTACTCCTACTCAGTTATTCACTTAATAATTCTCTTTTGGGCACCTACTCCATTCTCAGTAGACATTTACCAGAAACATGATATCTGCCCTGAAGAAGCCCATACCTAGTGGGGGCAGACTCAACCAGGCATTATCATCTCTCACCAATAACACTGTGCTAGATCTTTCTTGCTTCAGGCCACTATACTCCAGTACACCCACTAAAATTCTTATGCTTACCCATTCAAAACCCAAATCTGATCATGTCACCCTCTGTCCTAAAGTCAAATAATAGCTGCCCAATGTTATTGACATACATTTAGGTCGAGTTACATGAAAATGTCAATATTTCTACAGAGATGACAATTTCATGTGGTTCAACACAATAAAATGAAATTTCCATTTTTCCACTTGTTAGCTACCACATTATATAAAAATCCTGAGAAGGATCTTTTCCAAATCTGAAAGGCATGTTAGGTATCACCAGACTTAAAATATAGATTATGAGACATGCATAAAATCTGCTTTATGGGGGAGGAGCAAGATGGCAGAGGAGTAGAAGACCTAAGTATCATCAGGTCCCAGGAGTTCAGCTAGATAGTTATCAAACAATTATGAACACCTACTAACTCAATGGGAGATCAAAAGAAGAAGAGCAGCAATTTTAGGAACAGAAAATTGACCACTGCTGGGAAGGTAGGAAGTATGAAGTGAATCTGAAGCAACAGGAAAAGAGACCATGGGGGGAGGGGCCAGCTCCTGGCAAGTGGTAGAGAAGAGGAGGACAAAATTGGAACTTTTTCTTTTTCTTTTTTTTTTTTAAATTCATTTATTTGACACAGAGAGAGATCACAAGTAGGCAGAGAGGCAGGCAGAGGGAGAGGGGGAAGCAGGCTCCCTGCTGAGCAGAGGGCCCAATATGGGGCTCAATCCCAGGACCCTGAGATCATGACCCAAGCTGAAGGCAGATGCCTAACCCACTGAGCCACTCAGGTGCCCCACAAAATTGGAACTTTTAAAAGTTTGCTCGACTGAGGTATGTTGCTCCAGAGGCTAAGCAGGGGGTGGAGCAGAGACAGTATGGTCTTAGGTCTTTATATAGATATAGATAGATATAGATATACTTATAGATAGATATAGATATAGATATAAATTAGATATAGATATAGACATATTAATTTTTTTCTTTTTTTCCTCCTTCCTTCACCCCCCCGTTTTGGGTCTCTTCTGATTTGGTTAGTGTATATCTTTCTGAGGTTGTTGCTACCCTTTTAGTATTTTGTTCTCTAATTCATCTATCCTTATCTGGATAAAATGACAAGGCAGAAAAACTCACCACAAAAAAAAAGAACACGAGGCAGTACCAAGGGCTAGGGTCCTAATCAACATGGACATTACTGATATGTCAGAACTAGAGTTCAGAATGATGATTATCAAGGTGCTAGCTGGACTTGAAAAAAACATGGAAGATTCTAGAGAATCCCTTTCTGGAGAAATAAAATCCCTTTCTGGAGAAATAAAAGAACTAAAATCTAACCAAGTTGAAATTAAAAAAGCTACTAATGAGGTGTAATAAAAAATGGAGGCTCCTACTGCTAGGATAAATGAGGAAAAAGAGAGAATTAGTGATATAGAAGACCAAATGATGGAGAATAAATAAGCTGAGCAAAAGAGAGACAAACAACTACTGGACAATGAGGGGAAATTTGTGACATAAGTGATACCATAAGATGAAACATTATTAGAATAATTGGGATCCCGGAAGAAGAAGAAAGAGAGAGGGGGAAGAAGATATATTGGAGCAAATTATAGCAGAGAATTTCCCTAATATGGCAAAGGGAACAAGCATCAAAATCCAGACAGCACAGAGAACCCCCCTCAAAAGCAATAAAAATAGGTCCACACCCTGTTATCTAATAGGAAAACTTAAAAGTCAGTGACAAAGAGAAGATCCTGAAAGCGACTCAGGACAAGAAGTCTGTAACATACAATGCTAGAAATATTAGATTGGCAGCAGACTTATCCACAGAGACCTGGCAGGCCAGAAAGGACTGGCATGATATATTCAGAGCACTAAATGAGAAAAATATGCACCCAAGAATACTATATCCAGCTAGGCTGTCACTGAAAATAGAAGGATAGATAAAAAGCTTCCAGGACAAACAAAAATGAGAAGAATTTCCAAACACCAAACCAGCCCTACAGGAAATATTGAAAGGGGTCCTCTAAGCAAAGAGGGAGTCTAAAAGTAATAGACCAGAAAGGACCAGAGACAATATAGAGTAATAGTCACCTTACAGGCAATACAATGGCACTAAATTCATATCTTTCAATAGTTATCCTGAATGTAAATGGGATATATGCCCCAATTAAAAGACTCAGGGTATCAGAATGGATTAAAAAAATAAGAGCCATCGATATGCCATCTGCAAGAAACTCATTTTAGACCCAAAGACACCTCCAGATTTAAGGTGAGGGTGGTGGAAAGCAATTTACCCTGCTAATGGACATCAAAGAAAGCTGGGGTGGCAATCCTTATATCAGATAAATTAGATTTTAAGCCAAAGACTGTAATAAGAGATGAGGAAGGACAGTATCATACTTAAAGGGTCTGTCCAACAAGAAGATCTAATAACTTTAAATATCTATGCCCCTAACATGGGAACACCCAATTATATAAACCAATTAATAACAAAAGAAAGAAAGAAACA